CAAGGGCAAGGCAAGGAGCATCACAATCCCTGGCTTGAAGTTATAGTATAAAGCTACCATGATAAAAATAGTGTAGTACTGGAGGAGGGGAGGAGAGGGAAGGAAAGGGGAGGTGAAAGGAAACCTCCTTGGAGGCTCAGTGTAACAGATAAAAGATAACAGAAACAACTCCAAGTGCACTCTGCTACCTCATCTTTGACAAAAAGACCAAATATCTTAAGTGAAAGAAAGATAGCCATTTTAATAAATGCAGCTGGAAAAAACTGGCTTTCCATACGCTGAATATTAAATGCAGACCTATGTCTCTCACCGTGCAATAAACTAAAATAGAAATGGATCAAGGATCTAAACAGAAAACAGAAACATTTAATCTGCTGGAAGACAGAATAGGTAAAACTTTTGAAGACCTAGGTGTAGGCAAAGATTTTATGAACAAAACCCTGATCTCACAGGTAATATTACAAAGAATCAACAACTGGGATCACATCAAGATAAAAGGCTTTTTGCACAGCAAAGAAAACTACCAACAGAGTGAAGAAAGAACCAACAGAATGGGGAAAAAAATTTGCCAGCTATCCCTCAGACAAAAGACTAATAATGTCTAGAAACATAAAAAGAACTAAAAAAAATCACACCTCCAAACTTAAAGACTCAGTCCAAAGTTGGGCATCTTAAATGAATAGGCATTTCTAAAATGAAGAAGTAAACAACAAATAAATACATGAAAATGTTAACATTACTCATTTGTGAAATGCAGTTTAAAACACTGGGATTCCATTTTACTCCAGAAAGAATACTATCATCAAGAAATCAACAAATGCTGGTGAGGCTGAGAGGGAAAAGGGACCCTTTTCCATTGGTGGTGGGAGTGTAAACTGATACAACCATTTTGTAAATCAGTATACAGATTCCTAAAAAAAAAATAGGACTACAGGTTCCATTTGACCCAGCTATTCCCCTTCTAGGTATCTTCCTGAAAGTGTTAAAAACATCATGCAACATTGATATATGCATACCCATGTTTATAACAGCATAATTTATAATAGCTAAATCTCAGAAACAGCCCACATGCCCATTAAAAGATGAATGGATAAAGAAAATATATCATTGATGTACAATGGAGTACTACTCTGGTGTAAAGAAGGATAAATGAGACATTTTTAGGTAAGTGGATACATCTCAAGACCACAATCTTTTTTTTTTCCGTTAAGTTTACTGGTACTTTCTAGGTATAGAGTACAGTTTAATTCATCATTGGGATCTTGTACTTTTATATGATGTACCTTGGTTCTTATTTTTCCCCATGCTCTTGCTCAACCTTCACCCCCTCCATCTTTCCCTATTTACAGACTTTTTCATTTTCCCCTTTTCTCATATTTTTCCTTCTTTCCTTTCCCCTACCCTTTCTACTTCCCCTACGCCTTTAGCCCTTTTCTTCCCATTTCACATTATCAATTATATAATTTGAACCTTATTTACACTTTGTTTCTCATACCAGAGAAACTATTTGGTATTTACACATGTCCTATTAATTTACCTTAAAGAGTATGGCCTCAATGTGCACCCATTTAGCTATAAGTTAGTCCAGTTTCTTATTCTTTATGGATGGATAGTACTCCATTTTACAAAAAAACCCACATCTTCTTTATCCAGTCTCCAACTGATGGGCAAATGGGCTGTTTCCAAGTTTTAGCTATTACAAACTGTGCTACTATAAACATGGGTGATCATATATCACTGTGGCATGATTCCATTCTTTTGAAAAGATACCCAGCAGAGGAATAGCTGGGTCAAATGGGACTTTTAATTCTAGTTTTTTGAGGTATCTCCATATTGCTTTCTATAGTGGTTGTACCAGTCTGCATTCCCACCAACAATGGAGAAGGGTTCCTATCTCCCCACAGCCCCACCAGCATCTGTTATTGGTTGATTTCTTGACAGCAGCCATTCTTTCTGGGATGAGGAGGAATATCAATGTTGTTTTCATCTGCATCTCTTGAATGACCAGAGATAGTGAACATTTTTTCATATATTTATTTGCTGCTTTTACTTGTTTGTCTGAGAAGTGTCGAGATCACAATCTTAAGTGAAATAAATCAGACACAGAAGTTTAAATATGGCATGGTTTCTCTTATGTGAGAAACCTAAAGAGTAAATAAGGAGCATAATGGAGAAAAGATACTGAGAAGTAGGAGGAACATGTTCAAATGGGAAGGGAAACAAGGGAGGTTGAAGCGGGGAGGAAGAGAAGGGAGAAAGAATTTTTTAAAAAGAGAATGAAAGAAAAAAATGGAAACAAACTTTTGTAAATGGGGAGGTAGAAGGTCTGAAGGGAGGAGAATGAGAAAAAAATGAAGCAGAATATATTATGTACAGGTACAAATTCTCAATGGTGAATGTGATTATTGTATATGGCAAACATTAAAAACTTTACTAAAAAATTAAATTAAAAAAATAACATGGCACCTATAATCTCAACAGTCTGGGAGCCTGAGGTAGGAGGCATGCAAGTCTGAGCCCAATCCGGACAACTTAGGAACTCAATGACTTGGCAGAATCACATATGAAAAGATTAGCAGAGGACCTGGAGAAAACTTGTGATGTTTGTTAAAACTTTTCAGAAATTCAGATATTCCTTGAGATCACAATGCAAAAATCAACTGTGAGATAAAGGATGTCCTATGTGCTACCACACAAGTGTGTTAGAAAAATGAAGCCAAAGAACCCCATTCTATTCCATCTTTGCAGCTCTAGAAATTAGTATGTTTCAATTAGAACCTTAATATACCTATTTTTTGTTTTATGATGTGTTATAGATCCCAGTATAGCCATTTTAAGTTGAAAATACCTATGTCAAAATGCATTTAATACACTTAATGATACAAAACATCATAGCTCAGCAACAAAGTACACTGTAGAGTATCACTGTTTTTACCCTTCTGATCCTGTGGCTGATAGAACTGTGGATTGCTGCTGCTGCTGCTGCTGTCTCAAATGAGCATATTATACTACATATTGCTGTTTCAAGAAAATATCAAAATTTGAGTTGATATTGTTTCTAGTGTATATTACTTTGGAACCATTATAATGTTAACAAATCACAAATCAGGAATTGTCGCAATAGCACTGCTTAGAAAAGTATTAACTCAGCAAGCTTAAAGTTGCTATCCAAAAAGGTTACTCATATGGTTGGACTTCAGCTGACATCTGTGAACTTGGCTATTAAGCAGTATTCTGCAACTGATGTAAAACTGATGAGCTCACTACATTTAAATTAACTTTCAAACAATGTGGCTTATGTTTCTGGGAGTCTGGAATTTTGGTATGTGCTAAGCCTCAGTTGCTTAAATAAAAACACAGGCACTGAGTCTCTAAAGGGCTTCCCTGGGCAGAAACATCATATATATCTCACATATATCATATATATGATATACATTTATATGTACATCATATATATATACATCATATACATACACACATACACACACATATATAAATATTTCTACATTTTCACTGCTAGGACAATGAAATGGTACAGAAAATAAGCTCTGTGTGACCTGTCATTAGGAAGAGAGCAGAGAAAACTTTCACTTGGATTATCTTCACATTCCACCAGTACTTTTCTTTTATGATCTGATGTGTGTCCTTACTACATTGGCTGTAAAAAAAAAATCTTAGCCATGCATACTATATGCCAAGTTGTCTAAGTCTTTGATGGTGGCGATTCCCAACACAATTATGAGAATTGACTTCTATCAATAGGGCATTTTCCAGGATAATGTCCAAAAATGTGAATTTTCCACTGTGAAATTATATCGTTTACTTTAGTGATTTCATGTAAAATGACATTTTCCTTGTATAAATAACTACTAGGTTCATCACTCTACTTATTCTTTGCTTGCTTTCTCCCATTTCAAAACCACAGTACTTCGAGAATTTGTCTACTACTCTTAAGTATATTTTTATTAGTATATATTAATTTTATAAAATATTGCCTTATTTTACTTTAAATATCTTATTTTCTGGTACCAGAGATTGAACTTGGGACCTTGCACTTGCAAGGCAAGTGGTTGCACCACTGAGCTAAATCCCCAGCCCGTACTTTAAATATCTTAGAGGCCAAAGGTAAGTTACATTGAACATGAGACTAACCACTCTGGTGTTATTCTTAATGATTAGTTCACATCTCTTATCTCTGTAAATTATACATTCAGTAACATTATTCCATCTCATGACTCTATTTAGGCTAAAAATTGCAGGAATACTTTCACAAAATTAAACAAAATTCACTAGGCTCTTAAAAATATTGCGACAGATAAGTAAATACTAATGAGAGATCCAAGGAATTTTTAAAATATGAAACAACTTTATACTGTTCTTTGGTTGTTTCCTTTACTGGTTTTTCAAAATGAATAATTATTCCTGAAGTCTACATTATCTACTGATAATAAATTTCCTCCTAGATTTGTCAAACAAAAAGATGAGGCTAGAACTCTAAAGAGTTTTAGGTCTAAATTTGAAATTGTGTCACTGAAAAAAATCATCTTAGTATCTTTACTTGCACTAGTTTTTACTATGACTGCACCTGAGAACTCAAAACAACATGCAACAAACTTTGAAGAAGAAGCAGCTCACATTTCTACCCCATACCTACTGGGAAATTATAAGAAAATGTAGCTGCCACAGTTACAGTCACTATAATTAGGTTCTTTTGTGCAAACCAGAAAAGTCATTTTAGATAATTAAAGATGGAATGTATCTGCTTTATAACATTTTTTCTTTTGCCTTATATTAATTATATCATAAAACCATGAAAAATGATTCATTAAAACATATAATGATTTTCCAATCCATACACAATATACTTGCATCTATAATTTTAGCACTTTCAAAATCATTTGATTTAAGGAATCCCCTTTGTTCTTAGTTTAAAATATCTACATTTTCTTTGCTCATTTTCCTAAACAAAGTAATAGGAACCTAATTTACCATGTACTAACCTTTAAATGATTGCCTGCAACAGCATCATGCAAGGGCAGAATTCCCTCTATACTTTCACAATTAACATTAGCACCAGCCTTTAATAACTCTATTATTATATCACTAAATCCTTCATTAGATGCCTCATGAAGTGGTGTCCAACCTAAAAAAAGGAAAAAGAATAAAATAAAAGAACAAGCTGTTCCTTACCAATCAACATTCATGTAATGTCTTTATTATTAAATTTTTGTATCAGTGGACTTAATCTTTATGTATCTTAGTAGTGACAAGAAATAATATACTGCTGAAAACCATAGCCTTAAACTGTGTCAGTTTCATATTTTAAAACTGATCTATTCATAAATATTGATGGAAAAGATTCACAACATATAAGATATAATGGAACCAGAGCAAATGCTAATCATTTCAATTTGTTTCAAAACAGCTATTAAAATGGTTTTCATATTCATCTCTTTGCACTGTCACATTGCTCTTAAAAATGGCATCTGGCTCTATTAACCATTGTATTTTCCCTCTGGAGTTCTTCATACAAGATTTTTGTGCAAAATGTTAGAAAATCAATTTGTAAATTGGCAGTTTAGAATAAAAATGAGAGAAAAGAGAAAAAAGAGAATATGATAAGGGAAGGAAGAAATAAAGGAAGAGATAGGAAAATGAGAATATTTTGCATCAACTTCAACCATAGGGAATGGAATTAAAGCTTCCCAAGGAAAGGGTCTAACTCCTTCACTTCTCATGCTAATACACCCCTTTGAATGCTCTCAAGTGGATGTAAAAACTATTTCAAAGGAGAATGTCACTTTAGCGATGCTGAATCTTAGTATTCAATTAAAAAATATATAGTGTTAAAAACATTGCTCAAAGTTAGTTGTATCAGCCAGGACGGAAATTGGAGAAGGGGATAAAATGTGAATTTGTGGGGTCAAATGACATAATTAGATTAAAGTGTCCAAACCTGCATTGTCTTTCAGATTCACATCTGCTCCAGATTCTATAAGAATTTGAACTAGGGACAAATCTCCTCTTCTGGCAGCAGAATGAAGCCGGCTTTCCCCTCTGGCATTCCTCTTATTGATCCCAGTTGTTTTCATGTCTGCAAATTTGCCAAGAAAATTGAGGCTGGAACAATTTCCCCAAAATAGTCTAAACACATCAGTTAGTAATAACTGCTCTACTGTTCTACAATAAAACTTGTGAAAACATTATAGAGCATTTAAGCACATATTTTGGATTCATTCCAACAGTTGGTCAAACACTTGATAAACTTGTTTCAGTTATACAGTCATCACATTCTCAGTAGTCCTTCAGCAATAGCTAAAATTTTTCTAATCCAAACTATGGTTTTATAAAAATCCTTTTTATACAGCCAGTCTTTAACTCAGAAGGTGTGTTCCTATCACTTGAGGTGCCAAATACTAAACACGCCTTTTGGGTTCTCTATATTTTTATAAAAAATTCAGTACAATGGTGGTGTTCAAAGATACTTTTCTGAGTTTTTTTCTTTGCAGTACTAGTTAGAGAAACTTACACTGGAACTAAAAGCAATGAACAGATCATATATTCCCCTGCCCCCACTTTTCTCCCTGATCCCTGCTAAAAGGTTAGTATAATATATATTTAAGTATCATAGAAAGAAAATAGAGAAGGAAACTATAGAAGACAAACCAACTAATTTGGAGGATTTGAAAAGTCACTGCTGAAGAGAGTATGAACTGACTTAACAGAGTGTGGAATGCTCCAATATAAGTGACTGCAAAAGAGAGCCAGTCTGATCCCAGGCATTTGGCACTTTTGGAAGTCAGGGGTGTGGAAGAGAGCAGAGAGACTGATTAAAATTTATGTATAGAAATATTAGGACTCCAAATTCCTTTCCCCAGTTTTAAATTGATGGGCAATCACTCCTCTTATTCCAGATCTCCATCCTAAAGCTAGGGACATAGAGATTTATTTTCTGTAGGAGCTGCATCAGAGAAGATTCAGACTGAGATGTAAAGCAAAACAAAGTCAGGGTAATGCAAGAGAAAAGAACATTCATTAAATCAGCAGTACCAGTACCACCTAGCAAATTTCCTAGAAATGAAAATTCTCCAGCTTGCCCCAAACCTACTCTGGAAGGCACACTCTAAAATGGCTCCTATCAACACAGAAACTTATCTTGAAGGATAAAAGTCATCTGCCAGATTATTGACTTATTGCGTGGAAATAAGGAATGAAATTGTACGTGACTACAAAGGAAATGCCAAGTGATCAAAATAAGTATTACAGGATGAAATTTTGTATTCCTATCAAAAAATAAATTCTCTTAAGGCAACAACTCAAAATTCTATCTTTTATTCCTGAATACCTGAATCACTCATTAATTACGAACTCAGGATGTGCCAGCATATGAATGCTGCCTCTTCCAGCCATTTGACTTTTTAAAGTCATAAACTGTTCTTGTGGTCTCATTGCCAAATAAAGAAATTGCTTCTTAATGGAAGGGAATTTTGCTTCCGAAGTTCAAGCTGGACTTACTACTGGAAATTTCCTACTTGAAATTTTCCTTGTACAACATGTCCAGGTCTGTCTGGCCTCACCTGCCTGAATGTGCCCAAGCCAACTTCCACATCTCAGGAATGTCTTGTCTAGAAGAGTTTTGTCATTTTATCAGAATGTAAATGAGATATAACCTCATGTTCTAAATCACCTAATGAATATGTTGCCAGTATAATGTATGAACCAATACCATGATTGAGCCCACTCACAAATGCATATTCCATTTCTGTAACCAATGAAAGTATACCAGATGCCTCACTTGTAACGCCCCCTCCTAGAGTATGTATCTTCTTTGTTCAAGCATTGGATGGGGCCAGTCTTCTGTGTGCGAACACAGACTAATCTGCCGACATTAATAAACTTTATTTCATTTTGTCTCCAGGGCTTCTGGTGTGCTTTTCATCCTCTCAGATTAGCGAATACTAGCCATATCAATCAAAAGGAAAGTTTGCCATTTCATTAACACCTCAGGAGCATAAACTAAAATATAAATAAAATGGCTCCTAATAATCTTCACTTATTGGTATTTGTGGCTTTATGAATAATTTGTTTCTGACCAACAGAATACTTCAATATTAAAGGCATTTCACTTCCTTGATCAATTTTAACACATCTCTCGGGCTACAGTCTTGCTCTATTGCTTTCAGTTTATATGCTTTGTTAAGGCAAGGAGGCGTGTTAGAGAAGCCCATGCAGAATGGTCAGCAAGGACCTGAGGCCCTCAGGTCAACTACCCTCCAGGAAGTAAGTTCTGCCACACCCATATGTGGTTGAAGGTGTATCCTTCCTCAAGCCAGATTGCAGTCCTTGTCAATACCTTGAATGCAACCTACCTAAGATCCCGTTATATGACTTAAGACATACTCAATTCTTGACTTACAGAAATCATGAGATAATTAACGTGTGCTGTTTTAAACTATTAAGTTTGTGATAATTTGTCATGTAGCAACAGAGACAACTAAGACACCTACTAAATCAGACTCTCTAAGGTTAGGGCCCAGAAGTCTGTTTTTAAACTTTTCAGATACTTTTGATGCAAGCAAAGGTTTGAGAAGCACTGCATTAAACTTGGCATGGTAGCACACATCTGTAGTTACAAACATCAGAAAGGCTAAAGCAGGAGAATCTTGAATTCAAGGCCAACCTGGGTAACATAGACATCCACTCCATCTCAAATGAAAATAAATCCACTGCATTAAACCATGAAAACTTTCTTATTGTACTTCCTAAATGCCAGAAGACACACATAAAATTTTAGGGTAAGTGACAAAAAGATTTAAGGATTATTTTAAAAAACAAAACAAAACAAAACAAAATCTAACAAAGGATTATTCTCCAAAAAATGGATTATTAAAATCACTGGGCAGACTACAGCTATCTGCCACTGACATCAAGACTAAAACACACTGCTTTTGAAAGAGAATTGTACAATCACACTCACAAATTCTTTACTGGAAGACATTCTACATACAAACAAACACAGAGACAGAGGAAAAGGCAGAGAGAATATATTTTAAAATTATAAAATATCGAAGATGGCAGCCCTGTTTATTACAAGTTTATATTGAAAAATATCTCCTAGTAATTCTTATTAATGCTACAAATCCTATTACCTTGTTTCTGGTATACCTGCAGCAAAGAAGATAGGCATATGATAAAGATTTTGGAGCAAAAATTTTAAAACTACTGAATTTTACTATAATCATAAGTCCCCAAAGGATTTAACTGAAATTCAAAAAGAAACAAATAGTACTCACACTAACCCTCTTTGTAAAGTTTACTGCAGTTCAGATTCACACTGCACTATTAATAACTACAATGAATGCTATTAAGAAATACCATGGGCTGGGTATTTAGCTCAGTGGTGCTGCTGCCTGCCTCACAAGTGCAAGGTCCTGAGTTTAATCCCAGGTACCAAAAAAAAAAAAAAAAAAAAAAAAAAAAAAAAAAAAAAAAAAAGAAAGAAAGAAAGAAAAGAAATACCATGGTTCCTTCATATATGATCTATTTTTCCTCTCTGAAAAGTTTTAGAATCTCCTTTTTATTTTTGTTCTGAAATTCTATAGTAAAGTACATAGTTCATTATACTGGATGCTTAATAGGCTTTTAAATATAGAAACTCCAGTCCTTTATTGCTTATATTATTTCTTTGATGATGTCTTCTCTTTTCTTTTCTTCTTCTTTTTTTTTTTTGGTATTGGGGATCAATCTTCTTTTCATTGTTCTCCCTGGATTTCCTAGAGTGAGCGATCTCCCAACTTTCTTATCCTTTCAGTTTATTTTTTCCTTTTAGAAGATTTTTAAGGCCATACCAACTGACTGTGCTATACATATCTATACACCTCTTTAAATTTATCCTATTTAACATCTAAAAGCTCAGTACTGTTGTGTGGTTGTTCTTTCTTTTCTATATGCTTTTTTCCCCAAGTTTTAGATATTTCCCATTTCTTCCATTATTTGTTTTTTATAGTTTCCTTTGGTCTGTTTAGCTTACTTTTACCTTTCTTTCATATTGGGGCTTTCCACAAATACCTGTTTATCTTTGGCTGTTTCTGTTTCAATGAGAGAAGCTGAAATACTGATTGGAAATCTGTAAAGGGTAAGCGGAATGCAACAGAGTGCAGAAACTGGTTGAATTCTCTATTGGGTGATAAAAAAATAAATTGACCTTTGTATTAGGGAATTCCCAGGTATATCTAAAATTGTTACTGCTGAGGAAGTTCAATTCTCTACTCAAGTAGCTTAGTGGAATGATAGATATGTAAAAAAATTACATTTAAATACGATTAAATGCTACTAGAGAAGTATATTAATTTCTTGTGGCATCTATAACAAATTACCATAAACTGAGTGGCTCAAAACAACAGAAATTCGTTTTGTGACAATTAGGGGAAATTAGAAGTACAAAACCAAGACGTCAGCAAGGCTGCATATCTAGTAGAAGCTCTAGCAGATTCTTCCACAGTCCTTCCAACTTGTGATGACTGGCAGTACTCCTCACCTTCCTTGGCTTATGGCTAAATCACTCCTTTGCCTCTCTCCTCTCTATGTCTTAAATATTCCTCTACTTTTCTCTTACAATAAGGCTACTTATCATTAAATTTAGGACCACTTGGATAGTTCATCTCAAGGTACTTAACTTGATCACATATGCAAGAATTCTTTTCCCAAAAATGTTAATATCCAATCTCTTCACTTATAAAGTAATACTCATGAGTTCTAGTGGTTAGGAAGTAGACATGTTTTTAGGGTCATCATTCAACTCACTACAGGATATGTAAGAAGAGCTCTGTTTACATAAAAGGGGAAATATGGGAGAAGGTGCACAGAGAACAACTAATCTAGTGGCCTTCCTACCTCTTAACAAATACTATAAATTAACTTCTCATCACTTAACGCTTAACCTGAAGTGGCCTATGTTTATTTTTCATATTGTTAGTGGAACAAAAATTTGTATAAGGCTCACTCTCTGGAAGGTATTCCTTCTTTTTTTCAACATTAGTTATTTCTATTCCTTAAGAATGAACAACAGTGGGGAAAATAAATAATACAGAACCAGCTCTAAGAACCATCAAAGGAGAATCAGCTTGTCCATACCACAAATTGTTTATCTGACACAAAGAATCTAGTGGCCATGCTTCTTTAACATTCCTTATGTTAAAATGGCTGAATGGAAGTACCTAAGGAATCTGAGTCAGTTCACCACTGTTGCTCCTAATTAATATTCATGATGTTTCTGCTGTTTATCTTACCTCCTCTAACAAACTAGAAATCATAGTCAGAAATATGACAAGACCATATCTGAAGTCTAACAGATTGTCAAGTAATGCCGTAACAAAAAATATAGCTGGAATAATCTTATAACAGAGAATGACTTTAAAAAAAAACAGTACAACTTAAAAGTTTAGAAATTCTTTCAAGGAAACTGAGTCATTGGGTTTAACATAAAACTTTTGCCAAAACAAGTACACAAACCTTGGTTATAAGTAGCTTTCGAGCAACTTTGTCTTTTTCGGAAATTCTCTTTTTTGTGTTCTTGGGTATTCGGAGGCATGTAAATTTCTGAATCAATTTTTTCTTTTTTCTCCTCATAATTTCTTACAATGCTTTCATCTTCATTGATATTATTAGTTAATTCTTCACCTGAAACAAATATTTTAGAGTATCAGTGTTGTAGTTCTTCTTGGTTATATGACAAAAAAGAAAATTCAAACATTTTTAGAAATTTGTTTCAAGTTATACTATTTAAGAGAATGGAAGCCTTTAAAATGTTTTTATATAACAAAGTTTGCTGATTGCAATGCATAGTGGAATAAACAGAGCTAACAATTTCCTACTGTGAAAATGCTGTTAGGGTTCCAAATACCAAATGCTATGTTAAAAAATTATAAAAATTAATAGATATCCTGTTTGCTGACTACTATACATTATCAGTTGAGCAGCCATTTTTATAATAAGTGACTTTCAAAGTAAATATATTACTTAACTACTAGGCTTAGTGACATCCTAAGTCATGACCCACATGGCCACGTTACTATCAGTTTGGGCACTGGTTAAGTGGAATTCAGTTGAAAATTTATATAAAAATAAGTAAATTTATAGGAAATATACACATTGAGGAATACAAAGAATACCTGGTTTGCGAGAAATTTCCTTCTCTTGCTGATTAAATTCTGAGATGTTAGTCAATTCCTTATTCATATTATTAGTGGAACAAAAATTTGTATTAGTTATAGACTCACTCTCTGGAAGGTATTGCTTTTTTTCAACATTAGTTATTTCTATTTCTTGAGGATGAACAACAGTGGGGGAAAGCCTTGGTTTTTGGCCTTTGTCACTGAAATTCCTTTTAATGTCATCATCTTTCAGTTCCACATATACCTTTTCCATAATATGTGTATCTATTTGATTCATTAAAGGAGTTGATTCACTGGGGCTATTATCTTGGGGCTTTTTAAGTATCTCCACATGACTAGTCAACTTTGAAGCTTCATGTGTTGACAGTGTCCTTGTACATGTCAGAGAAGTTTTCTCAGGATTGCCAAATAAGTGGTCAAAATTAGTTCCATATATGCATTGCTCATAATTGGCAACATGTTGTTCAGAAATTACTGCCTTATCTGAATCAGAAATATTAACAGCTTCATGTTGTGGAAGTGTGGTTAGGCTGCTTTCTTTTAATTCATTTTCCTGTGGAAAATGGTCTTCAGAAGGTAAAAAGTATTGTAAATCCCTTTCTTCTCTATTTAAATTTTCTTGATAGTGGTTTTTGCATTCTGTAGAACATGTCACCATTTCAGATGTTATAGTCTCCTCAGAGATACAGAAATTGTCATTATAATTATCAGAATGTTCCTTTATAAAGGATAGGAAAGAATTTTCCCATTTATTAAAGGTTTTATTTTTTTCACCTGAATTACTGTTTTCATGAGATTTATAAGGGCTACTCTGTTGTTCTTGGTAAACATGAGGCTGCTGATCTGTAGAAACAAATGGTAACTTGACTTCTTTATGTAACGCAGGTCCAAAGAAAGAACCAGATTCAGTTTGGCCAATGTATTCTAACCCAAAGAATTGCATTTCTTGACCCTCTGGTAAATCAAGATGGTGCTTAGCATGTGCCTCTTTGGAAACTGAACAAATCTCAACATTGTTAACTAACCCATCTTTCAGGATTGATGGAGTCAGGCTGGAGGGTTCATGCGAATCTTCTGAAAGGTCATCAAGATGCTGCTGACAAGCACCAACTGCATTTATTCTCCTGGAAGAAGAGATACCTACTGCCTGTCTTGAAGTGCAGTCTCCATCATTTGCCTGAGTCCTTTTATCTTGTGTTTTTTTTCTTCCTTTACCTTCAGACATATTTGTGCTACTATCCTTGATATTACAGACACTGCCTTTTCTGAGTCCTGTACAGTATGTTTGCTTAAGAGTTGACTGCTTATGCTTAGATTTACCAAATTTTATGATTTTGGAATTTTTGGGGTAACATTCATATATATCTTCATTTATAAATAAACCCTCTTTGCTTCTTTTATTGACTTCTACATTTTCTGGCTTTTGCCTGTTGATATTTTCATTACAATCAAACCCAGTGTGATTTTTAGGACTGAATTTTGTTTTCTAGAGAGAAAAAATACATAGTTAGCTTTAATTGCCAGGTATAGACCAATAATTATTATTGCATCCATAGTTAGCTTTAATTTCCAGGTATAGACCAATAATTATTATTGCATCCAATTTTATCACGTTCTCTATCCCAGAGTCTGATGGAATATATACAAACTGATATAATGGACTTAGACTCAGTCTATATATTAATCTTTATCTTTTACTGTACATATTAATTCTTTTTGCTAGTATTTTAGCACTAATATGTAATACTAAATATACAATAAAACATTGTAAGCTACTTGATCTTTACAGTCTTTTTAAACTAAATCAGACCAAAGTTTCATTCAAAAGGAAGCTTTACAAGAATGCTTTAAAAATAATTCCTCTCCTAAGTGTTACATAGCTAAAATTAGGAGAGTTTCTTCTGTTATCCGGGAGAACTACAGGTAGAGCAATGAAAAAGGAACTTAACAACTACAGGACAGATAAACTTCTAAATCAGTCTGTATGGAAAGTTCATTGTGGGCTGCTAAGATTACAGAAACACTGCTTCCTGTCACTTGTCACAGATGAAGAGTAACTGCCCACCATGTAACGTTTGAAGGGATGGAGTGGTATGTTTGATTCTTACACTGTGCTTATACTGGAGGAAATATGATATGGTCAATAAACCTCAAGCTTGATAAAGAAAAAGAGAAAGGAAATGACTACCAATACATCAGTGTGGCCAGATATGCTACATTTACGCAATTGCTTCTCAAGTAAACAGCCTAGAACTCTCTGATTCTCATGTAATTATTCTATGATGTCTTAAAACCACAGGTGAAATCACTGTTCCTGTCTAGTGCGTCAAATGTCTTTCTTTTCCTTCTGATAATCTACAAATTGCTAGTAGTTCTATCCTATAAAAATATTTATTAATAAACATAGATAAACCTTGTGCTGGTGTACATCCTCTACATCTCCTGGATCAATGCTTTTCCTTTGATCTGTAAACAAAAAGAGAAAATCGCTTCCAGTGGTCAGATTCTAGACATCTAAAGCTCACACAAGATTTGCCAGAGATAAACCAAGAGGAATAGGTAAAATTATGCAAACACTATATTGAAATTGGTACAATAACATCTTGTAATTCATACTTCATATTTATTAGCAATCAAATGCTATATTGACAGATGGTAACATTTCTATAGGAAAAGCAAATAGATCCAACAAAATAACTAATACTAAATGATGAGTGCCGAACTCAGTACTTTTTATTTTTTCCATGTGTATATCCAGATATGCTTTTATCATTCAGTAGACTACGCTATTCTTATAAGACAAAAAATATTTTTAATCAATTATATTATCATGTTTTCCTAATATGTCTGATTAATAAGTTACTAGTTTAGACGTTGCATTTTCTTCAAGGAAAAACATATTCATGGAAAAGGTCAATCACATTATGAATGTATAGGGGGACAATGCTTTTTTTAAAGCTTAAGTTGATAATAAAAAAATTTAGTATGTCTTTCATTGCCTCCTTTAAATACTAAAAGTGGAAATTATAATTACCTATATATGCATTTAGCTATGAGATAAAAGCCTAGAAACAATGCTTGCACATAGAAAGTATTTAGTGAATAGGGATAGATGAACGAATATCCTAGATGTGATACACAAAATATATACTCTTCATTTTATTATATATTACAGGTTTAAAATACTTCAACAAGGATATAATTGGGAGTGATTTATTTCTTGGGAATCATTTTCACAATAGCAATACAATTATCATTTGCATCATTCACTTCATTCCGGTAAGGAAAGGCACAGAATGTCATTTTATCAAACAAAGGGGATAGAAGTAAATTCTTGGGCGCCTCATTCCTAACTTTTAATGTTGACTCATCTGCTTACCAAATGGCTGAACTTGGACAAGTTTTTAAATGTCTCTGCCTCTATAAAATATCCACAAATGAATGCTAATAATAGTCCCTGGCTTGTATAAATGCTAAAATTATACAACAAAATCCATGTAATGAGTTTAGAGGAGTTCCTGGCAAAGAGAAAATACTCCACTATTACTGTTGCTGTTATTAAGAGCATAAGGGACACTGCTTTCTCTAAAATGTGGCTCTTAAAGGGCAGAAAAGTAGTATTTTCCAGAAACTACCCTGTCAGGCACAGTTCTTAAGAGAATCAGATAATTTTATTTCCTCTCAGTTTTAAGACTCTCCTTTTCCTAGTAAAACCAACTGACTGATATAAATTATGAGAATGGTGAGCTTTGTTAAGCAGCAGTATTCTTCTTCCTCTGTCACTTTGAGCTCCTGTCATGTGCCAGGTACTGTGTTGAGTTATATATTTTAATTCCAATCCTCACAGTAATAGTCACACAGATATGGACTTAGGTGAGTAGATATGAAAAGCCCAAATTTGTAGATTAAAAAATTGAAGGATGTTAGTTTACTCAATGCTATAAATCTGTAAGAATAATCCCCATCTAACACCAAATATATATCAATCTAAGACAGAAAAGAAGCAAGTATATTTTATATGAAGAAAGTTTCCTATTCATAATTCTTATCACTAAAGCTCCAGGGCTGGGGATGTAGCTCAGTGATAGAATGCTTCTCTAACATATACAAGGCCCTAGGTTTGATCCCTGGCACCTCAAAAAGAGGAAAGAGGTGCTTAAATTGACATTTTAAAATGAATACAATGTGTTAACAGATAATCTTTAAGTTTAAAATAATCCACTTATATTGAAAAGTAGGCTTATAATTAAAGACAGAACTAAATGTTCAAACTTCATAAATATTTAAACCATCTAGTAAAGCATAACAATACAACTCGTCTTAGTAAATTTTCTCACATAGGAAAAGTGGGATATAAATCCCCATGAGAGATGTTTGGAATTTCTTTCCAAGAAGGAAATTGCCTTTTGCAGCTATAGGTTAGAAGTGGCCATTTATGAACAAGAAATTCTGAATTGGGAAAAAGAGAATGCTAGAGAAAGCAGTTTCAGAAGAGCAAAACAATGGATGCCATTATAAAATAGAGAATTAAATCAATGAAACAGATTATCAAAGCAAATAATCTAAAATACATAAACATTTGCCTCCAACTGAATGTTTTATTTGCAATTTTTATACAGCTTAAAATGTAAAAAGGATTGATTTAATAATGTGCTTTTATAGGCCTGGCTTCAACAAGCTACTCTCCGTCTCTTATTTTCCTTCTGGTATAATTTGGCTTCTAAAGAAGGAATTTTCTGCATTGCTTCTTACTGGCTTTTAATAATCAGTGAAAGATCGGTACTATGGTATACATGTAAGTCCCAATCACTCATGGGACTAAATCCAAAAGATAGCTTGAGCCTTGGAGTTTGAAACTAGCTGGGGAAACAGATTAAGTAAGACCCATCCCCAAAATAGCAAAAATCAGTGAGGTTCTCTTTTCATTATAAAGGTAGAATATTTTGATCTAGATCTTAGTTGTTAGTCAATATCATTCAAATAGCTACATTTCTTGAGCAAATAAATGGTTTATAAAAATATGTCATTATAAAATATAAAATTGGTTTTGTCTTGGTTACTTTTCCATTGCTGAGACAAAATATCTGAGATCCAAAGTAAAAGGAGGAGAGATTTACTTCAGCTCACAGTTTGTGAAGGTTGCAGTTCATAGCTGGCTTGCTCCAAGGCTGGGTGGCATGGTAGAGGAGAAACAGTTTGTGGCAAGCAGAAGACAGAAAGCAGCAAGGCAGCAAGCAGCAAGTGACAAGCAGTGGCAGTAGCCCTCTTTCTGTACACTTCATATCTAAGGGAGGTAGCACACACAGCCAAGGTGGGGCGCCCTTAATCCTATCCAAAACTATGCCAATCTGTGCACTAATTTAGTAACCACACACCCTTGATCCCAGTATCATAAACTTAATCCCAGCATCACATACTCTAGGATCCAGCCATCTCCAAAAAGTCCCACCTATGACCTCATTTGGTTTTAAGGGGACATTCAGACACAAGCCATAACAGGTCTACTGTTCATAAAGGAAAACCAGTCTTATGACCCAGTAGTCAGACTTTCATATTGTCCCTAATTTTCAGTAGCCAACACAGTCAATAATAATTGGAAGAACTGTCTGATATTAATAAAACCCAATTGGAAGAAGGGGATGTTTCAAACTTTATTTAAAATGACTTAGGTTAGGAGAAGATCTCTCCCCCCACCTTTTTTTTCCATGTGTACAGGGGTAACGCACTATATTAAATATGTAAGGTCATACCTATGTGGGTTTGATTACAGAAACTAATAAAGTATTCTCTAAATAATGAAAAAAAAGAATAAGATAAGACTATAAGAGCAAGAAGCAATTTAAATATGTTGGGGACCATTTTCATCTCCAGAATTAAGGATTATTTTAATTTACATCATTGCCTTTTCTCTTTTACTTTCCTTTTTAGTTTTATTTTTAGGATTCCCTATTTTTAATGTTCATACAGAGATTTCTTTAACTGAAATACCGAATAGTTTCTTTGGTGTGAAAAACTATAATAGTACACAGGATCCTAATGAGATAATTAATAATGTGAAATAGGAAGTAAAGGGCTAAAGGTGTAGGTAAAGTGGGAAGGGTGGGGGAAAGGTAATAAGGGAGAGGAAAAAAATATGAGAAACTGAAAAAATGGAAATAAAGTGTTTGTAAATGGGGGGGGGAGGAGGGGGTGAAGGGAGGGCAAGAACAAGGGGAAAAATGAGAATCAAGACCTATTATGTAAAGGTACAGTATCCCAATGATGAATGTAACTGTATTGTATACCTAGATTGTACCAATAAACTCAACTAAAAAAAAGAGTTATCAAAGAGCTTATGACAACCACTAACCATGACATACACATAACATCCACACTCATGTTGGTTGGACTTGAAGAAGCCTGGTTATATTATTTTTAGGTATTCTCATAGGGCCTAAGCACTTTTTTTTATCACTTTTAATTGTAACTATTTGCTAAACTTCTAATTTTGTATTATTAGGCTCTAGTACTATATGGTGCTTGTAACATCAGCCCCTGATTAAATTTTCACAGAAAACAGATAAATTTCAGTGGTGGTGGTTTAGTGGACATTTTTTGCCTGCCCAGACCTCATAGTAAGAGTTGACTCTAGAGAATGTCTGTTGACTCCTCCTACCTAGATTTCTGGAGCTGCTTGTACTCCTAATCTGTTCAGGGCCTGGATCTTCACCTTTTCATTTAATTATTAAATTACCATACCCAGAAATTCCCTTTACTACCTTTAGCTGATTTCTTGCTACCAAAGAATTCTTACAACAGGACTCTTATAGCTGTATCAAAGAACTGATATATATCAGGCACAGTTGTAAGTCAGGAAGGTAGGGCAGGACTAAAAGTGACTAGGAAAGGAGGTGTGACAAGATCCTAGAACACATGCAAAGAACAGTTCTCAGAACCCTGCATGTGGACTTCTTGTGAAAACTCAAGTAGGTTTTTGGATAAGATGATCTGGATGTGATGCTAGTGTGGGAAATATAAAAAGGGAGACAGACACCATTAAGCACTCACTATCACGCCTCTTCACAACAGCCCATCCTAACCTGTAGGGTATATTTTTAATTTTTCCTCCCTTTCACTCAGCCCAAACTTGCTTTGCAGACCACGTATCCCCCCGTACCTTTCTGCTTTGTTTTTTTCTACCTTTAATAATTGTGAAGTATTGCCACTGTTAATGCTTGTTTCATTAAATTCTTTGTCCGGAAAGAAAGGACCTAGAAATCACCTCTAAGAGAAAACTCCAGCACCCTAAAACCTGTTAACAGTTGTATTATGTGTTCCCAGGAAGATGCTAAGCTCTAGCAGAGGACAGATTTCCACTGCCAGGGAAATTTGCTTCCCACTGGAGGGAATAGAAGGACTTACAGGGAGATGCACTCACCATATATCTAGAAGAACTGTCAGACTAAACTTTTCTGTACAAAAAGGAA